AAACCAGAGAAAGAGACCAGAGAGAGAGACCGGAGAGAGACCAGAGAGAGAGACCAGAGAGAAACCAGAGAGAGAGACTAGAGAGAGAGACCAGAGACAGAGACCAGAGAGAGACCAGAGAGAAACCAGAGAGAGAGACCAGAGAGAGAGACCAGAGAGAGACCAGAGAGAAACCAGAGAGAGAGACCAGAGAGGGACCAGAGAGAGACCAGAGAGAAACCAGAGAGGGACCAGAGAGAGACCAGAGAGAAACCAGAGAGAGAGACCAGAGAGACACCAGAGAGAGAGACCAGAGAGAGAGACCGGAGAGAGACCAGAGAGAGAGACCAGAGAGAAAAACCAGAGAGAGAGACCAGAGAGATAGATTGGAGAGAGACACAAACAGTTACTGAGCTAGAGGAGTTTACTTTGGAAGTCAATAGGAGCCAAACTTCACCACAAGCACTTTCCTATTGGGTTTGATCTAACCCTATATTCTGGTCTCCCCCTCCGGTCTCTCTCTCTGGTCTCTCTCTCTCTGATCTCTCTCTCTGGTCTCTCTCTGGTCTCTCTCTCTGGCCTCTCTCTCTCTCTGGCGTCTCTCCCTCTGGTCTCTCTCCCTCTGGTCTCTCTCTCTCCGGTCTCTGTCTCTCTGGTCTCTCTCTCTGATCTCTCTCTCTGGTCTCTCTCTCTGATCTCTCTCTCTGGTCTCTCTCTCTGATCTCTCTCTGGTCTCTTTCTCTCTGGTCTCTCCCTGGTTAGACTTATTTTGAAGTGGAATACGGATCCAAACAACACGCCAACCTTTCCCATAGGTTCCACAACCTGTCGACAAAAGAATTTCAGCACCAAGCTTTGAGGAAGGGGACACTTGTCTCCTCCATCCTCCGCTGTGACAGCACTTTACACACACAAAGACACACACACTCACAGACTCACACGCACACACACACGTGCACACACACACACGCACACACAAACTCAGTCTAATGTATCCCGTCTTTAATCGCCTCAGACATTTTATCCCGTTTTCTTCCACTTCAGAGTCCCAGAGGATCCGGACCAGGACTCTGCTCTGTGGACGAAATCCGAGACCAGGACTCAAACTGGACCACCGACGAAATGTGAGACCAGACCCAGACCAGACCACACACAGAGAGAGAGAGCCAGAGAGAGAGAGAGAGAGGGAGAGAGACAGAGAGAGAGACACACACACACAGTCCTGGATTTAATACTATTAGTTTATGTAAAAGAATACAATAGTTACATTTCAAAAAATTATTTATATCACTGCAATAAAGAGACCAGAGAGACCAGAGAGACCGGAGATAGACCAGAGAGAGACCAGAGAGAGACCAGAGAGAGACCAGAGAGAGACCAGAGAGACCAGAGAGACCAGAGATAGACCAGAGAGAGACCAGAGAGAGACCAGAGAGAGACCAGAGAGAGACCAGAGAGACCAGAGATAGACCAGAGATAGACCAGAGAGACCAGAGAGAGACCAGAGAGAAAGCAGAGAGAGACCAGAGAGAGAGACCAGAGAGACCAGAGAGACAGGAGAGAGACCAGAGATAGACCAGAGATAGACCAGAGAGACCAGAGATAGACCAGAGAGACCAGAGATAGACCAGAGATAGACCAGAGATAGACCAGAGATAGACCAGAGATAGACCAGAGATAGACCAGAGAGAGATAGACCAGAGAGAGACCAGAGAGAGACCAGAGAGAGACCAGAGAGACCAGAGATAGACCAGAGATAGACCAGAGATAGACCAGAGATTTCAAGATTTCAAGATTCAAGATTAATTTATTATGTCCCGTAGGAAATTTGTCTTGGACTCACAGGCTGCTACATTGAAAATACACATAAGACAGACATAAAACACAACACAGTAACACCGACATAAACCATCACCGCTCTGCTCGATGGCCTGCATTCAGGAGGTTCACAGATATGGGTAGGAATGAGTTCTTATACCGGTTTAGATATCGTTTCTTATTTCTAGTGGGTACTCTGTAGCGGCGGCCTGATGGGAGGAGCTCATATTGAGAGTGGAGGACATGGGAGGGGTCTGAGGTGATCTTCCTGGCCTGTCTAATTACAGTCTCCTCAAATATCTGCTGCAAAGATGGATGCTCCCTAACTCCCATGACTTTAAAGGCTGTGCGCACTAATCTGTAAAGTTCTGCTTTTTTTTTAACAGTCAAATTCCCAAACCACACACACATACAATATCTTATTACACTCTCAATTACAGCATGATAAAATAGCGTCATTATTTTCTGTTCAACTCCAAAAAGTCTTAATCTCCGCAGGAAATAGAGTCTTTGTTGAACCCTGCTGCAGACAGAGTTCACGTGTACATCCCAGACCAGACTTGAGTCGATGTGGACTCCCAGGTATTTATATGAGTGTACCTGTGTTACCGCTGAGCCATGGATGGAGAGCGGAGTGTGATTTCCAAGATGTCCGGGGTCAAAGATGATTTCTTCTGTCTTCTTTACGTTGATGATGAGATGGTGGTCCTCACACCAGTGTACAAAATGCTCCACCTGCAGATTGTATTCGGTAGTGTCTGTGTCCTTGTCCATGAGTCCTAATAAAACAGTGTCATCTGAAAATTTGATGATTAAAGTGCTGGAATGGTTGCTGGTGCAGTCGTTTGTGTACAGTGTGAAGAGGAGCGGTGAGCTGACACAGCCCTGGGGCGCTCCTGTGTTGATGGTCTTCATGTCAGACAGTGTGTGGTTCACTCTAACCTGCTGGCTCCTGTTGGAAAGGAATGAGTGATACCATCGGATTATGTATGGGTTGACGGACATTTGTTGAAGTTTTTTGAGAAGGATGTGTGGTTGCAGAGTGTTAAACGCTGAGCTGAAGTCGATAAACAGCAGCCTGGCATATGCTTTAGGGTGTTCCAGGTGTTGGAGAACATTATGCACTGCTGTTATCACTGCGTCGTCAGTGCCTCGATTGTTTTTATAAGCAAATTGGTACGGGTCCAACTTGCTTCCTATGTCTGACTTCAGCTCTCTTACCATCAGCTTCTCCAGGCACTTCATAACATTGGAGGTCAAGGCTATGGGCCTATAATCATTGTCCTCTTTTGGGACAGGTATTTTAGGGACAGGGATGATGGTTGCAGTTTTCCATTGGGATGGTATAATGTGTGAGTCCACTGACCTCTGGAAGACAGGGGACCAAGCTGGTGAGAGTTCCTCTGCACATGTCTTCAGGAGGAAGGCTGAGATACCATCGGGGCCAGTAGCTTTATTAGTGTTAAACATCTTAAAGATTTTTGTGACCTCCTCAGCACTGATGTCAATTTTTGAGGCTCCCTGGACTCTTGAGTTGATTGATGTTCTATGACAATCAGCAGAAAAATCATGTGCCTCATGCCTCAAATAAAAAGTATTCAAATCATTTGCCATTTTCCTTTCGTCTGTTGCACACAGGGGCTTCTTGCTGGGAGTCATATTTGTGATGGTTTTCATGGTGGCCCACATCTTCCTTGTGTCCCCGTTCCTGAAATTATTTTCAATTGTGTCCTTATATTGTTGTTTTTTATCATTGATCTTCTGTTTTAGCTCCCGTTGTATAGATCTCATTTCTACATGGTCATTGTTCCTAAATGCAGCCTTCTTACGTAGAATGCAATCCTTAACATCTTTTGTGATGTAGGATTTGTTGTTTGGATAGAATTTCATTGTCTTTGTGGGTATAACAGCATCAACACAAAAATGTATGTATGACGTTATAACGTCTGTGGTTTTATCTAGTTCAGGCTCATGGAACACATCCCAATCTGTACTTAAGTAACAGCCTTTTAATGTGTCAATACTTTCATTTGTCCAAACCTTAACAGTTTTTATTGTGGGTTTGCTCCTTTTAAGGACAGTGCGATATGTAGGAATAAGATGTACTGTATTATGGTCAGAGTTGGACAGGGGTGGCTTAGCTTTTGCTGTATATGCATTTTTAGTATTTCCATAGCATTTATCTAGTATTTTGTCCTTCCTAGTGAAGCATTTCACGTATTGTTCAAAACCAGGTAGGGAAAAATCCAGTTTGCAGTGATTGAAGTCCCCTAAGATCAGTACTGGGGCATCAGGTGTATGTTGTAACTGTCTGTGCACACACTCAGCCACTTGTGCTGCAGCTCTTCCTGCGTTACCACTGGGTGGCACGTACACAGCACAGATGATTATATTCCCGAATTCTCTCGGGAGATAAAAAGGTCTGAGTGTGACACAAAGGTACTCAACGTCCGGGTCACAGATGGACCAGAGAGAGACCAGATAGACCAGAGAGAGACCAGAGAGAGACCAGAGAGAGACCAGAGAGAGAGAGATAGACCAGAGATAGACCAGAGAGAGACCAGAGAGGACCACCCTCTTTTGCCCAGAGAGTCAGATAGTGACCCACAGGGCTGTGTCTGACACATGTTTCTGCTGGAGTCCTGCGTCACAAATGGAACAGATGAAGCGTGTTTGATCAGAGAGTTTTACAGCTCTGGGGTCAGTGATCCGAGAACTGCGGACTGCGTCAACCATGTGAGTCATACAGATACAGATAATATTTAAAGAGAGAGACCAGAGAGAAACCAGGGAGAGACCATAGAAAGAGAAACCGGAGAGAGAGTGACCAGAAAGAGACCAGAGAGAGACCAGAGAGAGACCAGAGAGAGACCAGAGAGAGACCAGGGAGAGACCAGGGAGAGACCAGGGAGAGACCAGGGAGAGACCAGAGAGAGACCAGAGAGAGACCAGAGAGAGACCAGAGAGAGACCAGAGAGAGACCAGAGAGAGACCAGAGAGAGACCAGAGAGAGACCAGAGAGAGACCAGAGAGAGGCCAGGGAGGGAGACCAGAGATAGCCATAAACAGTGCATCATATTTCTTCGTTATAGGATAAGAATCTGCACATTTATTTTGTTTTGGCTCAGAATTCAACAGATAATTGTTTATTCTCTTCTTCTTCTCTCATGTGTAAATCTTGCCAAGATCTTGTACAGATCTCGCTAAGAACTCTCCTCGGCCGTGGTTTCCCCTTTCTTCCGACTTGCCACCTTCTGGAGCATCTTCTCCAAACTAGTCTTGCTCTTTCTCTCTGGTTTCTCCTCTGGTTTCTTCTCAAACGCAATGACCCCTCTGACTTGTCCGGTGGTGATTCTAGCCGTGTCCCAGGTCTTGACAAAGGGGAACATGGTGAGACCAGGTGTGAAGCTCAGCTGGTGGATCTCCCGCCCACCTGGGTCTCTGAAGCGGATGCTCCCCTGGTCACAGTCCAGCGAGATGCAGACTCGTGCGGGCGGCCGGACCTCACGGAGCATGCTCAGAGGCACACCTGGTGCCTGAGCGGCCAAAACGCCGTTGAAGAACCAGATAACCCACTGAGACTGTTCCAGAGGGAGACCATGAGCCAGGACCCCGAGTCTCCACTGGGACGAGCCACTCACGTCCACCTGCAGGGGGCGACAGAGATACCATGTGTACAGCAGCGACTGGTACAACTGAGTACCATAGAGTATCCACTCTATCTCTCTGGTCTCACTGGTCTCTCTCTGGTCTCTCTCAGGTCTCTCTCAGGTCTCTCTCAGGTCTCTCTCTGGTCTCTCTCTGGTCTCTCTCTGGTCTCTCTCTGGTCTCTCTCTTTGGTCTCTCTCTTTGGTCTCTGGTCTCTCTCTCTCTGGTCTCTCTCTGGTCTCTCGCTGGTCCCTCTCTGGTCTCTCTCTTTGGTCTCTGGTCTCTCTCTGGTCTCTCTCAGGTCTCTCTCAGGTCTCTCTCTGGTCTCTCTCTGGTCTCTCTCTCTGGTCTCTCTCTGGTCTCTCTCTGGTCCCTCTCTCTGGTCTCTCGCCCTGTTCTCTCTATGGTCTCCATCTCTGGTCTCTTTCTGGTGTCTCTCTCTGGTCTCTCTCTGTTGTCTCTCTTGTGTCTCTCTGTGGTCTCTCACCTCCCACTCCGCGGTGCCACTGGTGAAGCCCTCAGACCCCAACACAGCAAAGTAGTTGTGGAATCTCTCTGGGTTCTGTGGGGGCCTCTCCTGGTCTTTGGGTCCTGCCTCCTTCTGGTCGGCCCTTGTTACTGCGCTCAGGTCGGCAGACAGACTCAGCTGAGGATCCACGGTGTTAGGATCGAAGAGAACCGGACAGAACTCCACCAGCTCCGCCATCCGAGACCAGACCCGGTACCAGAGGTTCCCCACATGACGGGCCTACAAGAGAACACAGGACTGAGACTGTAGACCCAGGACTGAGGCTGTAGACCCAGCACTGAGACTGTATTTCCAGTCCCCTCTTCCCCTTTAGCAAGAGGGTGAGGAGCTCAGAATAGAGCCGCTGCTCCTCCACATGAAGAGGTTCATCCTGATGTTCTGGGCATGTCCCACCAGGACACAGAGGGACTGTGAGCTGGCCTGAGAACGCCTCAGGATTCCCCCAGAGCACAGTCTGTGTCTCTGCTCCAGCATCCGGCAACGGATAAAGTGGCAGAAAATGGATGGATGTTTGTCCAGGACCTCATTGATGAATAAATGAATAAATAAATAGACAGAAGTATAGATGTATAGACGCCACACGGACCTCGTTGATGAGTGCGTTGGTGAATGAATGAATGAATGAATACATTCATTAACAGATAGATGTATGAATGTATGTATCTATAAATAAATGGATGTATAGATGCATGTACAGATTGATGTATAGATGCATGTACAGATAGATGTATAGATGTATGTACAGATAGATGTATAGATGTATGTACAGATAGATGTATAGATGCATGTACAGATAGATGTATAGATGTATGTACAGATAGATGTATAGATGTATGTACAGATAGATGTATAGATGTATGTACAGATAGATGTATAGATGTATGTACAGATAGATGTATAGATGTATGTACAGATAGATGTATAGATGTATGTACAGATAGATGTATAGATGTATGTACAGATAGATGTATAGATGTATGTACAGATAGATGTATAGATGTATGTACAGATAGATGTATAGATGTATGTACAGATAGATGTATAGATGTATGTACAGATAGATGTATAGATGTATGTACAGATAGATGTATAGATGCATGTACAGATAGATGTATAGATGTATGTACAGATAGATGTATAGATGTATGTACAGATAGATGTATAGATGTATGTACAGATAGATGTATAGATGTATGTACAGATAGATGTATAGATGTATGTACAGATAGATGTATAGATGCATGTACAGATAGATGTATAGATGTATGTACAGATAGATGTATAGATGTATGTACAGATAGATGTATAGATGTATGTACAGATAGATGTATGTATTTATAAATAAATGGATGTATAGATGGACCTCGTTGATGAGTGCGTTCGTCAGCGCAGGAGGCTCCTCCAGCAGGGGGCAGCCTTGCACCCGTCGCACGGTGTGCTTGTACTCCTGCAGGAAGATGACGTCGTCCGCGCGCCTCTGTTCGTCCACGTGCAGGAGCGCGCCCCTGAGCGGTGCGCTCTGCTGTTGCACGAGCTGCACGCGCTCCGTAATGCGCGTGCTCTTCTCCCGCAGCTCCTCGCGCAGCGCGTGCACGTCCCGCTCCTCCTGCTCCCGCAGGAACCGGTGCAGAGCCTCGAATTCACACCGAATCTGTTGCTCGCTCCTGTGCGCCTGCGCAGAGACGTGCTCCAGCGTGCGCTCGTATTCCACCTGAGACAGGTTTCAAGGCAAGTTTATTTGTATAGCACAGTTCATGCACAAAAGACCCAAGAGCCACGTTTTCACCACAGGAGTTCCTGGTAAAAGGAGCGGGGTGGAACTTCAACAGGAACCTTCCTCTCCCTCGGTCCTCTCAGTGTCACGCGGCGACGTCATAAGTTTCGATCGCTGCATAAGTGAAACTCATTACGCCAAACCCATTTGTTCATTTTACAGTCGTAACTGCTACGGTTGTTGTGGTCTTTGAGTTATTTTATAGTCCTGCGTCAGTTTTTTGTTTTTACTTTTCATGGCTTGTTTTGGAGTGTGATGAATCCTCAGTGCTTTGAGTTGAAGCTGATATGTCTTATATCTTTTAATTGTGCCATGATGCCTCAAAAACCCCGTCTGATGCCGTGCTGTTGTTCGCTGTTTCCAGTGGTGTCTGCTAGGCTAATGCTGCTGGGCTAATGCCGGTTGTTTTGGAGCTTTCTGCTGCCGTCTAAGCGTCTGAGCCTGCGCTAGCTTTAGCCAATCAGCACCGGGTTAACCTCAAGTCCCACCACGAGTTGTTCAGGGCCCAACGGAGTACCTAGCATAGAGGAGGGACTCCGTTGGGCCCCGTAAAAGTTCCTGTAAATGGCCCTGTGGGGGAGGGTCCTGCAGTGGAGACACCGATGGGGCCGGCCCTGGAAAATTACCTCGAAGTTCCTGCAGTGGAAACGTGGCTTTTGTGTTGAACACAACAAGAAAGGAAACAGAAAAACAAAGACTTTAACCTCATCATCAGTATTAACAAGCCTGAGGACAGTTCTATCCTCTCACAGGTCTGGGGAGGTCTCTCTCCGGTCTCTCCCTGGTGGCTCAGTGGTCCTCAGTCTCACCTCTCCCTCACAGGTCTGGGGAGGTCTGCTCTCTCTCTCTGGTCTTGTCTCTGGTCTCAGTAGTCCCTGAGTTACACCTGGATCTTTTGGATCTGGTCTTTCATAGGTCTGGTGAAGTCTGATCTCTCTCTTTGGTCTCTCAGTATAGTCTTGTCTCTCATTGGTCCTCAGTCTCACCTGGATCTTCTGGATCTTGTCCATCTTGTCCCTCAAAGGTCTGGTGAGGTCCATGAGTTTTTGTCGGTGCTGTGTGGCTGCTTCATCCAGAGGTCTGAAGTGATGCCCCACATGTCTCTCTGAGTCTCTGCAGACCAGGCAGACCGGGTCCTGGTGCTCCAGACAGAACAGGGTCAGGGTCTGCCAATGCAGCAGGCATTCTGAGGAGACAGTGGCAAGAGAGGAGTCACTAGACTAACGCAAAGACTAACACAGGACTCTCTCTGGTCTCTCTCTGGTCTCTCGCTCTATCTCTCTGGTCTCTCTCTATAGGCTCTCCATGGTGTCTCTCTCTGGTGTCTCTCTGATCCCTGGTCTCTGATAGTCACCTCTGGTGCATCCTGGCCCCTTGTTCTCCCTGGTCTCTCTCTCTCTCACGGCCTCACAGAGGTTCCTGAGGACCAGGTTGGAGGTGGGAGTTGCTGGGGCACAGGTCTTACAGACTGGACACTGGCGCTGGTTCTTCCCTCTCCACCAGGACTCCACACATGGTCTGCACACACTGTGGCTGCAGCTCAGCACCAGCGGGTCCACAAACAGGTCCTGGCACACGGGGCAGCACAGGTCCTCATGCGACATCACTGCAGAGAAGGGGGACAGAGACAGAGACACACACACGCACGCGCACACACACACACAAACACACTCATGTTAAAGCTGGGGTCCATAACTTTCAGATCACAGCAGCAAAAGAAATTACATGACAGAGACAGAGACCAGAGAGGGACCAGAAAGAGACAAGTGAGAGAGAGAGACCAGAGAGAGAATAGAGAGACCACAGAGAGAGACCAGAGAGAGAATAGAGAGACCACAGAGAGAGAATAGAGAGACCACAGAGAGAGACCAGAGAGAGAATAGAGAGACCACAGAGAGAGACCAGAGAGAGAATAGAGAGACCACAGAGAGAGAACAGAGAGAGAAACCAGAGAGAGACCAGAGAGAGAGAACATAGAGAGAGACCAGAAAGCGGAATCTGAGAGCCTCTCTGGTTTCTATCTTAGGTTACGAAACAGTTTGGATTAAAAAATACGACCTCACCTTTACCGTCAGATATACCCTGGTCCTCGTCTCCACGGTTACTGTCTGTCAAACTCAACAATACTTGATGGTGATGTCACATGCAGAATGCAGAACAGCCACATTATGATTTCCCAGAAGCCTTAGGGGCGGAGTCAGAACTGGTCTGAAGTCTCAGTCATGGTTTAATGCACTGGAACTATGTGAGAGATGTGAGGCCTAGCCAGGTCTGTGCTGAGGCGAGCTGCTACTGCTATTACTATTGCTACTACTGCTATTACTACTAACACTACTACTACTGCTACTGCTACTGCTACTACTACTACTACTACCACTACTACTACTGCTATGCTACTGCTACTGCTACTGCTACTACTACTACTACAGTCCTCTCCCGTGTGACTGCCCCCTGCTGGTCAGACCACACACATGCACCACATCAAAAACATTTATTACAAAAGAACAGAACACTTTACAGACCAAATATACAGAGGACACAGACATTAAATAAATGATGATAAATGACACAGATGTTACTCTGGATTATTACCAAGCAAGTATCTACAGAGATCTGTCTTTGGGAGAAAAAAAAATTTGGTTTTGTTTTGGCCAAAAAATGTTTTGGCCCAGGAAAGAACCAAGCCTAAACTAGGACTAAAGCAGGTCTAAAGCAGGTCTAAAGCAGGTCTAAAGCAGGTCTAAAGCAGGTCTAAGGCAGGTCTAAAGCAGGTCTAAAGCAGGTCTAAAGCAGGACTAAAGCAGGTCTAAAGCAGGTCTAAAGCAGGACTAAAGCAGGACTAAAGCAGGTCAAAAGCAGGTCAAAAGCAGGACTAAAGCAGGACTAAAGCAGGACTAAAGCAGGACTAAAGCAGGACTAAAGCAGGACTAAAGCAGGTCTAAAGCAGGTCTAAAACAGGTCTAAAACAGGTCTAAAACAGGTCTAAAGCAGGACTGAACCAGGTGTAAACCAGTCCGTTTCACCAGAAGTAGTTGTAGATTCCTCTCCAGTACCAGCAAGTGCAATTGAGTCCGGCGGCGATGAGCAGGATGACCAGGAGGGCGACCGCCAGCACGACCGCCGCCACGGTGGCAGAAACGGCCCACACGAAGGTCCGTCGGGACAGGTCCACCAGGGGCGCACGCATGGCCAACCGGGCTCTGCGGGCGCGGCGCCGGTCCTGCGGCGGATACCGGGACAAGTTCACACTCTCCATGGTCAGAGAGCGCACCAGGTAGGAGCGCATGTGGCTGAGCTGCTCGAAGGACTGACGACCGTGGTACTGACCCATCCCACTGTGGCCTAAGGAGAGAGACCAGGTCAGGGTCTACAGCCTCAGTCCTGGGTCTACGCCCTCAGTCCTGGGTCTACAGCCTCAGTCCTGGGTCAACAGCCTCAGTCCTGGGTCTACAGCCGTAGTCCTGGGTCTACAGCCTCAGTCCTGGGTCTACAGCCTCAGCCATGGGTCTACAGCCTCAGTCCTGGGTCTACAGTCTCAGTCCTGGGTCTACAGCCTCAGTCCTGGGTCTACAGCCTCAGTCCTGGGTCTACAGCCTGAGTCATGGGTCTACAGCCTCAGTCCTGGGTCTCACCGACTCCTCCAAAGGGCAGTGAGCTCAGAGAGTAGTGCATCAGGACGTCGTTCACCAGGACTCCTCCGCTGCTCGTCTGCTCCAACATCTTCTCTGTGAGCTGAGGAAGATACCAGAGATCAGAGAGAGACTGGAGAGACGGGTCTCTTTCTTACACAAAGGATAAAATATTTTCTATTAAGACAAAGACAGAAGGTTAAATAAATCAGCTTGTTTTAGTTTACTTTAGTTTCAGACCATCATTCAAATGGCTTCTGGCTGAGACAGTAATATCGGTTTAAAGTTCAGATTGAAACACGACAGAATCAGTGCAAAAGAGATTTGTTTCATCTAATCATGTGAAACTTCACTTTTAATTTTTATTAAAAATCTAGGACTTGAGAAAAGTCTCACAGTCGGGTCGGTGCAGAAGATGTAGAGAGCCAGGGGTTTCTCTCTCTCATTGATGAAGCGGATAGCGTCGTCCACGTCGCTCACGGCCACCAGGGGGAGCACCGGCCCAAAGATCTCCTCCTTCATGAGTCTGGACTGAGGCGGGACGTCCCGCAGAACTGTGGGAGCTGAGGAGAAAAGCACAGGCACCAGAATGATACCAGGACTAGAGGAAAGAGAGAGAAGGCAGGGGAGAGAGAGGGCGGAGCAAGAGAGAGAGGGGAAGGGAGAGGAGTCGGTAGAGATCCTGCAAGTGCAGCTCTCTTATGTTGTTAAGAGACAATAAAGAATATAATGCAATGTAATCTGTCACCAATGTATCTCTGGGCGGCGTCGCTCTGGCCCCCGATCACCGGCGTGTACCCCTCCATCAGAGACATGATCCTCTGGAAGTGTCTCTGGCTGATGATCCGACCATAGTCTGGAGAACTCTTTGGATCTGCTCCATAAAACTCCTGCAGTACCACACACGTCAGACTGATATAAGGAGGGGGGGGGGGGGGGAGAAGGGGAGGTGCAGATGTCACCTGCATCGTGAGTCTGATGCAGTCGATCAGCTGGTTCTGGATACTGGGGTCACACAGGACGTAGTCTGGAGCGATGCAGGTCTGACCACAGTTCACAAACTTCCCCCACGTGATTCTCCTGAGACACAGGAGTCAGAGACTTAGAGCTGAGGACTTTAAAGATACAATTAGTCCTGGTCTAGCCTCAGTCCTGGACCTGCAGCTACAGCCTCAGTCTTGGGTCTATAGCCTCAGTCCTGGGTCTACAGCCTCAGTCCTGAGTCTACAGCCTCAGTCCTGAGTCTACAGCCTCAGTCCTAGGTCTACAGCCTCAGTCCTGGGTCTACAGCCTCAGTCCTGGGTCTACAGCCTCAGTCCTGGGTCTACAGCCTCAGTCCTGAGTCTACAGCCTCAGTCCTCACCGTGCTGCCACCCTGAGGTTGCAGTCGTGGTGGACGTAGCAGGGGCTCTTGCCCCCCAGCTCCAGGGTGACGGGGGTGAGGTGAGCTGCTGCCGCCTCCATCACCAGTTGTCCCACAGAGCTGCTGCCCGTGTAGAAGATGTGGTCCCAACGCAGTCTCAGCAAGTCCTGGGTCTCAGACACTCCTCCACACACCACAGGGTACAGCTCCTGGAGAAGGGAGAGAGGGGAGAGGGGTTAGGAGAGGAGAGAGAAAGGGGTAGGAAGGAACGGAGAGAGGTGGGGGCAGAAGGATGAGTAAGTTCTAGGTCTCAGAGACTCTCCGGGGGCCTGGAGAGGAGAGAGACAGGAGGTGAGAGGAGAAGAGGGGTGAGGAAGGACTGAAGCTGGGCTAAAGCAGAGAATTTGATCGACCAGAGAGACTAGAGAGACACCAGAGAGAGAGAGACCAGTGAGAGACCAGAGACAAACCAGAGCGAGAGAGAGAGAGACACCAGAGAGAGAGACCAGAGCGAGAGATAGAGAGACCAGAGAGGAAAGTGAGGGGTGTGTAAACTTATGGTCCTCTGTGAGTGAGGTCAGACCTTGTCCAGGTATCGAGGCAGAAGAGCTCTGAGCAGCAGAGAAGAACACTCACTGAGCTCTGAGGGCTTCACCACCGCCGCGTTCCCTGCACAGAAAAGACCTGCTTTAGACCTGCTTTAGTCTTGCTTTAGTCCGGCTCTATTCCTGCTTTAGTCCTGCTTTAGTCCTGCTTTAGTCCTGCTTTAGTCCTGCTTTAGTCCTGCTTTAGTCCTGCTTTAGTCCTGCTTTAGTCTTGCTTTAGTCTTGCTTTTGTCTGGCTGTAGTCCTGCTTTAGTCCTGCTTTAGACCTGCTTTAGTCCAGCTCTAGTCCAGCTCTAGTCCTGCTGTAGTCCTGCTTTAGACCTCAGACTGACCTGCAGCGATGGCCCCCACCAGAGGCCCCAGGGTGAGGGCCCAGGGGTAGTTCCAGGCCCCAATGATGAGGACCAGACCCAGAGGCTGAGGCCGGACGTAGACCTGGTCTCTGAGCGTCAGGACGGAGCGTTCCACAGAGCGAGGAGCCGCCCACACACTCAGCTTCTCGATGGACAGACGGACCTCGTTCTCCAGACCTGTGAGCTCCAGGAGGGCGGTGTCGAACTGGCTCTGAGGACAGAGGAGGACCAGGGTCAGGCCTGCTCCTGGTCTCGACCCCAGTCTTGTGGTCCAGTTCCTGATCCCAGTCTCATTCTCTGTCTTGGTCCTAGTCCTGGTCAGGGTCTCTGTCCTGGGTTCACCTGGTCCCAGTCCTGATCATGGCCCAGATCCTTCCTCGATCCAACTCTCATGTCCTAGTCCTGGAATTGGTCATGATCCTGGTCCTGTTCTCCGCCCTGGTCCCAATCCCAGTCCTGGCCCCAGTACACTGACAGTCTCTCTCTGGTCTTGTCCCAGTCTCGTCCTGGTCCTTACCCGGTTCAGGTCCTGCTTCAGCGCGGTGCAGATGTCAGTCTCTCTCTCTGTGATCATCTTGAGCAGAGCGTGTAGTTGCTGAAGTCTAAACTCTAGGGGGCGCGTTCTCCCACTGAGGAAGGCCTGACGAGCGCGAGTGGCGGCCTGTCGCTCCACACTCCCACCTGGGAGCCACAAGACCTGGGTTAGACTTGCTTTAGACCTGTGTTAGTCCTGGTTTAGACCTGCTTTAGACCAGCGTTAGTCCTGGTTTAGACCTGGTTTAGTCTTGGTTTATACGTGCTTTAGACCTGGTTAGTCCTAGCTTATACCTGTTTGGTCCTGCTTTAGTCCTGCTTTAGATCAATAGGCTGAGCCACTGTAGAACTCACAGATCTGAGTTCTATAGTTTCTTATCAAACTGAAGCACATTCATCATCATGTCCAACAATGCACTGCGCTACAGTGACAGTCTTCAGCTGAACTTCCGTCACATATAAATCTTTCCGCGTGTTTGTATCTGTTAAACCAAGATGAAAGTGGCGGTGTACCTGGAGACATGGTGGAGCACACTGCTAAATACACCATTCACAAGCTCTGCGGATCCCAGCACCGCGCGTAAAGACGTCTGTGCTGCAAACGGAGAGAGACCAGTGCGTAAAAGGCCCCCTCTCCAAAACAGACTGTCTGCTCTGTGCGTAAAGGATCCCTCTCCCCAAACAGCGGGTCAGGTCTGTGCGCCAAGAGAGTTAATTCTCCAAACAGGACGTGCGTAAAAAGTTCTTCTCTCCAAGCAGGCTGAGGGCCGTGCGTAAAAAGCCCGTCTCTCTCTGGTCTCCCTCTCCCCCTCGCTGGTGTTTCTATCTCTGGTCCGTGCGTAAAAAGCCAGTCTCTCTCTTTGGTCTCTCACTCTGGTCGCCCTCTCTCTCCTCTTCGCTGGTGTTTCTCCCTCTGTTCCGTGCGTAAATGTCCAGTCCAAACAGTCTGTACAATTTCCAGAACCCTGCGTGTGTATCCTTTGTGCGCTCTGCTCCTGTGTGTGAGCCTTTGTCCCGTGTTAACCAGACAGTAGCAGATCCTGGATCAGATTACCACCCACTGTCCAGTGTGCCCACTCACTGTGACCGAGATAAGGGGCTGATCTTCGGGATGACCCGCGACGAGCCCCCGGGTGAAGGAGCAGGCTTCAAGGAGAACTTTTCTGATCCATTAATATCACGTTTGTCCAACCACAAGGTATAGTCCTCAACCAGAGAGAGACTAGAGAGAGACCAGAGCGAGACCAGAGAAAGGCTATAGAGAGAGACCAGGAGAGAAAGACACGGAGATGGACCAGAGAGAGAGACCAGAGAAGATCAGAGAGACCAGAGAGAAACCTGAGAGACAGAGATGGTCCAGGGAGAGAGAGAGAAAGACCAGAGAGTAATCAGAGAAACCATGGAGAGAT